GGTAATTTCCATAGGGTATCAATATTTTTTGATTTCGTGGCTCATTTATATCCATAAAATCTTAACTACACATAAAAACTAATAAACAGGCCATGCAGAGCTCTAACTACTCTTTTTAAGCCATTGGAGAAGCCAGTAACTCTGCCTACTACTTTTTTCCCAATGTATTAATGTATATCCAAGTGAGTAGAAGCTTAATAACTGCCAAGCATGAATATTTGTACCAGCAAATAGTAGCTTCTAAAAAAATTTGGAGAAAACATAAAATATTGGACCCTTAAAAATTATCAACCATATGGTACATGTACATGTATATTAATGTATAGTTTGATTTGAATAATCCTCTTAATCCTTTAATTACTAAATACATATTTTTACGTAAAGATTAATGTTTGTTCAATGACGAAATACATATTTAACATGTTTCAACTTTTTCAGAAATAGTCTATAATCTTTATATGTACTATACATGTATACATGCACTGGCTGCTGCCAATTGCTGCTACTTATAACTGTATCATAAATATAACTATATACTGGCAACTTACAGCATCAGAGCCAATATTAGGATCAGCTCCTTTTTCAAGTAGCACTTCAACAATTTCAAAATTATTCTTCTTAATGGCTATAATAAGAGCAGTAGGACCACCAGAATACTATTATAATAAATTAAAAATTACAGTATATAAAGCTAAAAACCTTAGTAATAACATTAGGATCAGCTCCTTCTTTGAGTAGCACTTTAAAAATTCTAATGTAATTCTTCTCAAAGGCCATAATAAGAGCAGAAGGACCACCAGAATGCTATTATAACAAATTTAAAATTACAGTACACAGCTAAAAACCTTAGTAGCATTAGGATCAGCTCCTTTTTTGAGTAGCAATTCAACAATTTCGATGTTATTCTTCTCAATGGCTGTAATAAGAGCAGTAGGACCACCAGAATACTATTAAAACAAATTAAAAATTACAGTACATACAGATACATGTAACCTTAGTAGCATTAGGATCAGCTCCTTTTTTGAGTAGCAAATCAACAATTTCAATGTTATTCTTTTCGGTGGCTATAAAAAGAGCAGCAGGACCACCAGAATACTATTATAACAAATTTAAAATTACAGTACACAGCTAACAACCTTAGTAGCAATAGGATCAGCTCTTTTTCCAGTAACAATTTAACAATATCAGTATTATCTTTTTCAATGGCTCTAATAAGAGCAGGAGAGCCACCAGTTGGATACTATTATAACAAATTAGAATACTACAGTATACATGTAGCTACAAACCTCAGTAGCATTAGGATCAGCTCCAGCTTCAAGTAGACCAATAACCTCCTCAGGTTTAGTATGAGATTCTATAGACTTGATCAAATCTCTTCCCTACATATGTAATTACATGTAAAGCTAATATACAATAATTTATTACCATAGCAGACTGGAACTTTTAACTTCCTTCCCAATTGATGCAGCCTCTGCCCTCTGTTTAAAAAGAGGCACTTCTTGTTGAGTATTAGCTTCACTTGTCTATAAGATTAAGATTTAGATATTTTATTTACTCATTTACACAATATAGACTGCCAATACATTGCAAACATGGAACCACCAACATTAAGTGCTACCAAATATTCCCACTATAATAGGCTCTCTCAAATTGCATGAACTATTTTGCTGTGCATTGTGCAATCCTACTAAAAACTCAGTATATATGTAGACAGTACTACTGCATAGCAAAAAATTTTCTGGCCCAAAATTTTCACAGATATTGCGTTTTTCAAAATTCACAAAAATAAAATCCAAAAAACTGTAAAAATTGCTTTAAGGTTCAAGATGGCTGAAAAGAAAAAATTACAAAAATTAAAACCACAAAATTGATTTTTCAATGAATCCACAAAACAAAAAATTTTCACTACACAATAGTAATTACAGCTATTTTTTATACATGTGTGTATGCATACTATGTAATTTATTGTAACTGTAAATGTGCTATACCTACCACCAAAATAGTAGTGCTTGTGGTGGGAATGTTACCCTCAGATGATGTGGTCCGCATGATTGAAAAAGCATCAATCCTCTATACAAAAAAAACTTTATCATTGAAAATTAACTAGAAGAATGTAAAAAATTAAGGGGCTCAGCCTCCAAGCCACACGCTATTGCTGTGCTGTAAAACCTTT